TCAATAAAATTTCCTATTCATTAAAAAATAATTAGTTTATAAATATTTTTTGAGATTTTTTTGCGAATAACTCCAAATAAATACCAACTTGATTATAAGTTTCTTAATTAACACTACTTTGAGCCTCTAGAATTGATCTAGTTGAAGTATTAAAATAATATACAAAATATCTTAAACTTGAATTTTGTTGCTATCATTGCAATATTATTATTTTCTATTGGTGAAAAATTTAACACCAACTTGGTCAATTTTTTATCCATCATTAGTGCAAATTAACCTGTTTAGTTTTCTTCATTACTCCTAAAAGTGCAACCCAATTGCATTGTAAAAGTAGGGTTAATTATATGTATGTGTAAAATATGCCGAATTCCAACATCTTCACTCTTGACAATCCTTATCATTAGCTAACTCACAATTAGCATGTTGAAGTTTAATTAATGGCTAAAGATTACAAAAACTATAGCTAAAGATTTGTTTCAGTGCGTAACACTATTAACTAATAGTATATGATTCTAGACACTAAAATAGTATCCGACCTACTCACAAAATCTTAGCCTAACACTTGTATCTAAAAAAGAAAGCCCCCACTAACGTAAACTAGAGTAGAGACTATTAGCCAAGGTCCATTAATTATTATCTTGTAAATGAAAAAGATTAGTAGTACCACAACTTTTAGATGAAAAGTTTACGAATTGATTGTGACTGTCGGATCATATTGTATTTTTATTTGTCTTGAAATAAACTAATCTAACTACTCTCATGATTTTGTATTAATTTGTCATGTTTTGCCGAACCAAGTAAATATCTATAACAAAATTTAGTATTATTGACAATTATTTAATGATAATAAATTAATTATCTCTATTTTATTATTTAATATAAATATTAATGATTATTATATAATGGTTACTAAAAATGTATTTACATTACATCAAAATTTATTATTAGCGACAATTATTTGTTAGAAAAAACTTTAGTCCCACATCGACTAGAAATAAAATAATTAAAGAGTATATAAATGAATGATAACTCTCACCTCAAGTATATTTTATAAGGTTGAGTTTGACCTATAACTACTATTTTAAGTTGGTATTTAGGAGATAAGATAATTAAAAAAATTAAAGAATATACACTTAAAAGATAACCTTCATCTTCTAAGTCCCACATCAATTAGAAATAAGGTATTAAAGAGTATTTGTGCTCATCTTACAAGTCCTACATCGACTAGAAATAAGATAATTAAAAAGTATTATAAATGTTTTAGCGACCCTGCATACAATGGCTAATGTGTGAAATGCTGGTAAAAGATTTTGTAGTAATTTTTATTATCACTAAAAGTCATATTAAATGCCACTAAAAGTCTATTTTATTGTAGTATCACTTCTCTTTTACGAGTACAATTGTTTTGCAACTTGATAGTTCGAACCTATTGTATTGAAATCCTTTTTAAAAGTCTATTTTAAAATTTAATATAAAACATGAGTTATTGAATGAAGTGAGTCTAGATAGACTTCTGCCCGCAAAGTTAGGCCCATACTTTTCCACCTTTATATATCTTGCTGATTATAGGTCCTTAGGTTCAATAGGTGACATTGATGTTAGAAAAGTCACAATTTGCAAAACCAAAGTATTGAGTCTTTCGTATTCTCACTTATTATAGGAAAGAAAACAAATAAAAAATAAAATAAAATCAACTATACCAGATATCATTATGTGAACTCAGACCATTTATATTAGAATAAATTACATTAAGAGATTTTGAAGTTCTACAAAATTGTATTAATAACTTTTTGTATTTTTTTATTTTTATTTTTATTTTATATTTTATTAACACTTCTTATACATTACTTTAATTCTCCTAAATTATTTAAAAATATTATATTATATATGACTTTTATAAAGAAAGTTTCTCTAAATCTTTTATAAAAAGAAATATTAGTATAATTTTGTAGAACTTTAAGGGTTTTAGTGTAATTTTTTCTTTACATTAATACTTTTTATGTGCCTCCACTTGGGGTTTGTCACTTACTTTCTGGCAAATTTCCATTCACGAATAACTTCTAGACAACACAAAAGCTAGCACGCTCTTATCCATGTCTTAGTGACCCACATTTATAGTTTAAAGAATACTTAAAACAAAGAATTTGTGGGAAAAAGGGAGACCATGTATATTATTCATCATTGATAATTTGATATGAATAGAAGAAGGATATTCTCTGTAGACCATACAAGTTATGGATTTAAAAAAGGTAGAGGGCACGTGAAATTGACATAAAAGGTAGGGACACCCGGCATCTGCCACGAAAACGACTTAAGGACTTTAACAAAGATTTTGTTTTGTGATCAAGGTTTGGTGTTTCAAAGGATAAAAAGGAATGGAGAGAGATTTTAATTGAGGGATGAGATGGGAGAAGGATGGGGTTGGAAATTTTGTTTGGGTGAGAAAGAAGAGAAGTAACTCTTTCTTTAGTTGGTTCAAAAGAAGAAAGATTTTAAAATTAATTTACTTTTGTATCTTTATTTTATAATTTTTAAATTTAATTACATAAATAAGAATATTTAAGATATTATATTATAAAAGTTATAAAATTCATTCTATTATCTTCAAATCCTTCCAATATTAGAGAGGAAAGGGCGGGTGTTAAAATTGGGTTAGGAAGAATTTTGTCTGTTTTTCTCTTAAAAATGGAATCAAACAATTTTTTTTTTAAAAAAAATTCCTCCCTTTTCCTTCATCTTCACCTCGCTCCAACAATAATGTCCTCCACTCTCCTCCATTCCCCCTCCAATACTAATTTGTTTGTTTTAAAAATTAGGTAGGTTGGACTTTAACTTGTGGTCGGCTCGTTGGTTTGTCAAAATTTGGTGGTTAGACATCTTAACTTGTTTTATCCAACCTATTAGTCTATCGGGTCAAATGGGGGGTTGACCGACCAACCCGCCTAATTAATATTATTATTATTATTGTTGTTGTTGTTGTTGTTGTTGTTGTTATTTTATAATTTTAATGTTAAGTTTAAATAAGTCATATGAGATTCATTATGTGAGTAATTTGTGACTTATTATGTAATAAATATATTATGTATTTGATTTTTTTATTATATGCAATTTGAGATTTTTTATGTAACAAATTTGTTGGAAGAGTTATTATTATTATTATTATTATAATTACATGCTCATTTTATTATGTAGCAAATTTGATATTTGTTGTGCACTAAATCAAATCAAATCTGTTGTAATTTGAATTTTATTATTTAAGTATACTAATTTATGTGGGTCCTTTAGATGTTTTTTTGACACCATGTGGATCTTTTAGATATTGTGAAAAAAAACATTTTTGAAGAAGTATTCAACATATATATGCAAATGTATTTTTCTTTTATATATATATATATATATATTTTGATAAGATGGTTTGCTAGAGTACCAAGCCACCCTTAGGTGGGGTGGAAAAGAGCATCCAACCTATTTTTTCTTGGTGGGCTAGCCTGGCCCCACCCATTTTTGGCAGACAAACGATAAGGTGAGACCTTAATGGGTCAGGTAGGCCCATTTTGTCATCCTTATAGGAAATATATAACTTAGAAAGTATACAAACACATTAGCTCATTAGTGTTCTATATTAAGGATGTATTTAGGTATATTTTTTTATAAGTATTTTTAGGAGAGAAAAATTAAAAAGAAAAATTAAAATAAAAATAATTTTTTTCATAAGCTAAAATTAACTTATGTATAAATTAATTTGTCAATTATGCTTGTAACTAGTTTGACCTTTCTAAAAAGGGTCAAGGTCAAAATGTGTCACTCTATGACATAATCTAGCAAATACGAACTTCAATTTTTTGAACCTCTTGTCTTATTACATCACCAAATTTCACCATAAGTAACCATTCAATCGGTAAAGTCGTAGATTAAAAGTCTAAAATCACTTTGTTAAGCCATCAATTTCTCCAATCAAACACTAATTCACTACATCATTTAAATAACATCAATCTTCTCATATTCTATAAATCAAGGGTTTCTACATACACTTACAGATTCATAAGATTCAAGTAATTACATAAAATTAAATATGACTAATAATCAATTGCATCAATTAGAATGCCAAAGAATCATGTAGAGAATAAAAATACAAGTTACAATCATAAATTGGAATTGCCCCCTCATACAACGTATTCTACAGAGAAGGAGATTTAAATCAATCTCACTACGCAACCTATATCTCATGCCCCCATAACGAGATTACTAACCTCCCCTTACTTTAGTGAACACTAAATGGGTGCAAATTTCTAGGATGATTTTCAGTTATTTCTAGTTCTCCTAATTCTTCAAGCATGAAAACTAAAGAATAATAAGAGTATAAAATATAAAAATTGACATAACCCCGGCCCTTTAAAAACTTCTCAACTCATATTTAACCCATCATTAAAACAATTAAATCATGGTTACGTTTTTCTTCACTTAAAATATTTAAAATTTATAAATAAAAATATATAAAATTAACATATTTCTATCACTCCAATTATAAAAAATAAAATATCTATATTTAAAATATATTTAATTACACAATTAATTGAAACACATATTTTCTCCGAAATACATTCTATAACATAACTTTACAAACCTTTTTATATTTAATTAAAAATACTCATAATAATTAAATTTTTTTAAAATATTTATAAAACTTATTTATAAAACCTATTTAATTAATAAAATGTCCTTTTAATAATTAAATTTTTTTGAGATTTTACACTCATTCAAAAAGATACTGTAGTTTGTTCCTAAGTTGAGTTAAAACAATATAGTCGCGACAATTATGGATGGTAATTACGAAACTGCACAAAGCCACTTTTGGACTAAGATTGAAACACCTGTCCACTAAGATTGAAACACCTGTCCACTATAGATAAAAAAGTGGTAATTATCATTTACAAAGATCATCATGGTGATTCTTACCCTGCTGCTAAAAATATAATAGAGGCTTTGGATGATAGCACATGAGAACTTGGCCTTTTGTTTCCCCCTAAGGCAAGAGTGTGTCAGTGGTGTGTACTGTGGTGAGTTTGGCCTCTAAACTTGGATTCTTTTGACTGTCATGTCACTCACTTTGATACATCTATATCCATGAGCTTCTGCCATGTAAGTTAACATTACCACATGCATTTGGTAGCTACCTAGCTAGTAAACTTTCTATATATATATATTTGTTTTCAGGTAAATTTTACTCCGATTTGATCTACTCCTCTCAAACTCAAGTGCCTAAAGTATCAAAGCAAAAACGTTATACTCATGGAATGATATCTTCAATCTTCATCTCAGCTATTGTGACTTGTAAGTACAATGCATATATATATGTTCTTAATTTCAATATGTACATATGTTCTTTTTCTTTCATTTTCTTTTTCACCGACAAATTAAAATACACACCATATTTTGAATCCTATGTTACCTGGATATATAGAAGCTGTACATAACTTTAAAAAAAGACCAGTTTCTGATGGTGGGATCGATTTGGATTTTGGATGTTTTTCAAGTTATGTTATTATAAGCTTTGTTCATGAGTGTTATGTAATTGTTTTGAAAAAAGAACTCATGTCTCTCTCCCCCATGCCAACATGGATTCCTTTAGTTCCTTTGATTCCTTTGTTATATCAACAAGTGAACATGACATTAACATAAAAGATGTATGAAAGAAGCATCGACAAGGAAAAATATGATTGAAGTCTTTTATAGTTTATGCAATATATTAAAATTGATAATTAAAACTAATTTATATTTACATATCATAACTTCTACTAATCAAATATTATTTTAGAATAACTCACTTTTAAAAGATAAAATAAGTAATTTCAAACTATGATGAAAAAATCGAATGTTGTTATTACGTTTCATACATATGCATGTTTTAGAATATCAACCTTTAATTTTTTCATTTGATATTACTTTTTTTTAATGAGCTAAATCAGGAAAGGTACATCTTATAACTATAACAGGAAAAGGAATTGTATATTTATGTATGTGTTAACGGAACTTTAATTTGTGTTATATTAATTACCAGTCATAATTTTAACTTATTTACTAATTAAAAGAGTCATTGGGCCACTGATTCATCAAAAAATTAATATTTTAGTTAGTGTCACTTAATCAAAGCAAATTAAACGGATGAGTCACTTATGACACCATTTTTGTGTGTCTTATATATATGCTTTTGAAAGAACAACTTTGTATATATGTGTGTGTCCTTTATCAGCAACATGGTGCTGTATGATTATAACTAACTTTTGCACCAACATTTACATCCGCAAATATTTCCTCTATGTTAATATAGTTTTTTGCTTGGTGATCATTCTTTCTTATAAAGTTCTCTTAGCAATATACCAGGACCACAGGTAACTCTCATGTGAAAAGATTCTATCCTAAAAGCTAAATCTTCTAATTTGATTTCTCTATATCATTTCAACTCAAAAACGTCATTGACACTAAAATATATAATAAAAAATATTCTCTATATCTATAATTATAAATACTCTATAATGATATAATATTTATTATAAAAATTATTTTTATTTAAATTATAAATATAGTATATGTTAATATATTGTTAAAAGTGTAAATATATAAGTTATATATAATTAATAAAATATATATTATTAAATTTTATTCAAATTTAACATTAAAATTATGTATAATTCTATGTCAAATAGATTTATATCTACATATTTTATATTTATAATGATATTTTTTTTATATGTAACTATATATAACATTTCTTGTAAGAAGAAAATGTAATAAAATTATATTCTTATATACACTAGATTAAAAATATTAACCGTATGATTTCATATTTAATTACAAAACTCGTGATCTTTTGAGAATATATCACGTGATTTTATTAAAAGGAAGAGAATTATGTGGATTAAAATTAGATTACATTGTAAATAAATGTTACAAATTGCATGGGTTTTTTCTCTCTTTATTTAAAGATAATGTAAGTTAGAAAGTCATGTGAAATTTGTAATTAAATATGCATTCATGACTGTTAATTTTATTTTTAATAATTGTGGCTGTTCAAAGGAAAAATTGTCACAAATCATTTATAACGTCACAAATCATCGTACCGTTTCTAAAAATTTGCCTCTTAATAATTAAAAACGTTACAAATTTTGGATTCATTCACGTTCTTTGATTGTTGATTAGATAATACTCTTAATAGAAAAGGCTTTTCAATAAAAACGTTACATCGCGGTCGGAATGACAAATGTTATAACGTACGATTAAATAATTCAATAACAAATAAGTAGAATTAAACTTAAAATGCGGAAACAAATAAATATACATTGAAAGGTAGGAAAGAAATTTCAAAGGAATAGAAAATGAATAATCCATAATGTATGACATCAGTAAAGAGATTTTTTTTCTTCTACATTTTATTGGGTCGGAAAGTTTAATATCGAGAAATACTTTAATAAATAGTGAGTAAATTACATAAAAATTATTATTATAACATAACTTAAAATTTTAAAGCATTAGATAGATAAATTTTTCTTACATATATATTATTTAATATATTCAACTTTAATCAATGTGAAACTTATTTTATATTTGAACTTCAACACATTTCGTTAGACAATTTTATCCTTGAATTACAAAATATATATATTTTTTTACCTTCTTTCAATTACATATGTATTTCACTTAAAAGATAAAATAGAAACAAAATTTTGTGATGGCAACAAGTAAAGGTAAAAGTGTAAAACTGTTACTTCTCTCATTTCAACTTCCACATCTATAAACATTAATCTATAACATTAATAAAAAATATATTTTCTTTTGTTGTCCACATTTCGTTAAAAAAATTTGTCCTTTAATTATATGACAACTCTCAATCCTCTTTCAATTATGTGTTTCACTCAAAGGATAAAATAAAAACAAAATTTAATGAAGACAAAAATTAAACTAAAGGTTAAACCGCTACTTCCCTCATTTCAACTTTCATATTCACATAATTGTAGTTTTATTTTATTTTTATTTTTATTTTTGAAAGATGGAGATACAAAGTGTTAGAGATTTCACATCGATTAAAAATAAAATTATAATGGTATATATATATAAGTGGAGAACAATCCTTACTTTACAAATTAATTTTGTAAAATTAAGTTAGACTTTCAATTCATTTTGTTAAGATGATATCTTAATGATTGTTGATTGTCAATAAATTTATCAAACTACCCGCTATTAGGTGGTTATTGAACCACTCACATTGTTACTAGACTTATCATGATCACCAACTATTAGATCACATTATCAATTATAAGTTTACAAGATTAGACATTTGTAGTGATTCAATAAACTCAACAACATTTGTTAAAATAGACTTTGATACTATCTAAATAAAGTGATGATTGTTCTTTAATTATATACATTATTATAATTTATTTTTAATTAATATACAATCTCTAACACACCCCCTCACATCAAAAATTAAATATCTCACACATAAAATTTATATGATCTTATTTTTCAACGATGTAAGATTTCCAAAACGATATCTCTTCCTCTAAAATATACATAATGAGAGGCAGTGTACAATTCTTTTACACCGTGTACTCATAAACGGTGATTTATATATTTTAATAATAATTTTATATTTTTTTAAATGAAATTATAATTATTTTAAAAATGATATAAAAATAATTTCTAATTATACTTATCCAAAACTTATAGAAAATTAAAATAAACTTTTGAGATAAGTAACAGGAAGATTTGTCTTGACATGTTGATGCAAGGTGTCACGTAGTGAGAAAATCCCTGTTCCTACTCACCAGATCCCTTGATGCCACGTGCCTATTCTCTTTAGTTAATTATATTCTCAATTATATATATAGATATATAATTATTTTAAAAATGATATAAAAATAATTTCTAATTATACTTATCCAAAACTTATAGAAAATTAAAATAAACTTTTGAGATAAGTAACAGGAAGATTTGTCTTGACATGTTGATGCAAGGTGTCACGTAGTGAGAAAATCCCTGTTCCTACTCACCAGATCCCTTGATGCCACGTGCCTATTCTCTTTAGTTAATTATATTCTCAATTATATATATATATATATATATATATATATATAAAATTCTGTATTGTTCATAAATTTTCGGGAACTTTTGCCTCAACTTGGAAAATTCAGACTGTCACCTCCTGCCGTTGAAACATTTCTGTGAGAAGTAATTTTTTTTTTCAGGAACTCTTTTATGATAATTATTTTTAAATGATAAATGGAAAGCAAAATTCCCCAAAAAAAATCGTGCATTAAATAAAAAAATAGTCGAAAATTAAAACTGAATAATTTGAAAATTAATTTTTTTTTATTGAAATTAATAAAATTTCAAATTTGATTTTAAAAACTGTATTTTGTGATCCAATATTAATTTTTGGTTATAATCTTATAAATATATTCACATAATATTCTAAAAATGAAAATAAAGGATTAACATTTGATTTTAAAAATTGATTTTTTTAATAGACCACTAATTCATCGAGGTAATTCAATTTAAAAATTCACTTCTTTCCACCAATATTTTTTTTTAATAAAGTACTAAAGCAACGTTTAGTATATAACAAATTTCCATTCCTGAAATCATAAATTTAGATTCTTAATAATCATAAAAAAAATGTTTAATTGGTCAATTTTTAAAAATATGTTTTAAATATTATTAAACAAATAGATAAAAATAACATAATATTTTTCTATAAAAAATAAAAACTTTTCATATACCAAACCTCTGATTAATATGAAATTGAAAGGAAAATTTTATTGACACTGAACAAGACATTTCCAGAGCCTAGCCCTAGAGCTCTTAACAGAGAATATTTCTCTGTTCAAAGGGTTAACACTAAACACACATATTCTCTCCCTTTTTAATTACAGAAAACAGCATTTTTTTTTTCCCTTTCCTACAAATAACTGCCTCACACAACCCCATAAACTGCCACTAACTACCCTACATGGATGGTTTGCTTGGACTTGGATTCAGCAACTGATCCTCCTCCAACCCAACACAATCATGGTTCCTATCATTTTTCCATTTAAAAGCTTATTTAATCCGATATAAACTTGACTTTTATATATAATATATATGTGTGATTTTAGAAACCCTTTTCAGTAATATGTAATTACAGTTTAACCACATTTCCTTGGTTCGTCTTTGTCATGGGAACTTGAGCTTCTCAATTGTTTATGTATAGTGTTGTTGTTGCTGATAAAACTATAACACACATGAAGACATTGCAGCAATGTCCCTGACAATGACATGGACAAAGGTGTTTCAATGTATTGAACTTGGGATTGGTTTCTCTGCTTTCTGACTCTCTCTCTTCCTCATTTCCTGGGATCATTTAGTTTTGGAAATCATCAACTGGCCATGTTTGGTGTTTTTTCTTCTAATTAAAGCCACTATAGCTGCTTTGGATTTTGAATTTAGTGCTGATTTTCTTCTGTCTGGCATTACAATATGTGATTTTTGTGTTTATAGAGTCATATACGATCTCAATAGTGCATGGAGAAGAATCAAGATCATGTTTTTCTCTTGAATGTTGTGCTTCCCTTATTGATCACTAAAGTGTTCCTAATTGAGCTTTAACGACTATCGTTTCAGCCTTTCAGCTACCAAAGGCCATGATTTTCTACCCTTACGAGTATTTCTTTTTTTTGGGGTCTGCCAATTGAAGTATTGATCTCAAAGAGGAAAGAAAGTTGCTGCTTTTATTATCAGGTTTGTGTTTCAATTTTCAAATACTTATAAAGCTTGAAATTGTTGTTAAGTAGCTTAGTAGGTGTCTTAATTCTTGTTACTGGTTTTGCTACAGGTCACTGATATTTCTGTCTTTAGTATGGTTGGCTTCGGCAAAAAGTTGAGAGAATTACAAGTTCAAGAATGGAAAGGGTACGTTTATTTGACTGAGACTAGCTACTTTCGAATTCTTGAAGGTTTTTTTATTTATTAATATATTATATAACATGTCTTCTCTATTTTGCACCACATCGACTCTGCTCTGCATCGCAGTTTTTGTTTTTAATATCTTTGGCTTATTTTGAACTTGACTTTCTATGACCTATGCCTTCTTAATAGTTAACACTTTGGCTTTATAGATATTAGCTATGCTTCTGAGTGATAATTTGGCTTAACTTCACTTGAGAAGCTAGTTTTCAAAATAAAATCTTCTTTACACAATTCTGGGCACTGGCACACAGAGAGAGAAAATTGTTTGTCAGTTAGCTTTTGCCTTCAGAATTATTGCTGATAAGAAGCATCTAAATAGAAGGATTTCAAGGAACAAAGGCAATAAAAGCATCACTTGCTCTGAACCTCCAATCAACTCTAAATAAGTGCGATGAAAAGAAATAATGATTAAGATGATATCATAATATTATTTCTTATTCACCTTTCTATGGCATGATTAATGAATTTTAATATTGTTGAATTCATTCTTTTCTATTTTGTAAACCTTTTTATTTGATCGTGGTAAATAACACTTGCACCAAAGTGAAAAATGATTGTTTTAATTCAGGTAATGCCTGTTTAAACTTTTTTTATTCTTCCAGATATTACATCAACTACAAGTTAATGAAGAAGAAAGTCAAGAGATATATAGAACAAATGGAGGTTGGAGCTCAAAATCGCCATAATGTTCTCAGAGACTTCTCATTGCTGCTAGATAATCAGGTAACTGCATCTTAACTCAATGTTCTCACTTATATGGCTAATAAATAGATATTAATTATAAATGTTTCATTTGGTTTATGTTATGGTCATTTAGTATAGGATTTTATTGTAATTTGTATTCCACTTTGTATGAAAAAGTTCATCTTCATCCCATCCTTATATTTTTTTGCTTTCATGTATTTATCAAACATATTCCAACTCATATCTACTACTACGGATGAATCAGGGTAAGCACACAAGGCATGTGCATCATTTTTATGTTAAAGGAAAAATATTATGTACCTCAATAAAGTCCTTTTTTTTAATTGAAAAACACATATTTAACCTTGAAATTTAGAAAGCAATTACATGAATTTTTTTAATTGAAAGACATATATTTAACCGTGAAATTAGAAAGCAACTACATGAAGAAAACCAATCCAAAACTGAAACCCCCCACTGTATAATACTTGAATACATATATAGCCTTTTCTGATATCCTTCAATTTGATTTTCCATGTATATAACTGTTACTTTAATGTGTGTTTAGACGAGAATTTAAATAGAATAATTCATGTTTTTTTAAGAATTTCAAATTTCTTGAAATGAAATATTTTATTTAAATAAAAAATTTACAAAAAATTTAAAATTCAAGCATTTGTAAAAATTTTTAAAATAAGAGAATTTTAAATTTTCTACAAAAGTAAACATTTAAAATTGTTCATGTTTTTTTTTAATCTTATATATCTTTTATTTCTCTCTCTCTTATCTCTTAATTATTGAATATTCAAAAATATTTTTAAATTATTAAATATTATCTTATATTAATTTTTAAAACTATTAAATATTTAAAAATATTGGCTAATATTTATTTTTATAAAATTTAATCTTAAAATCGTTCTCTCTATATATATAAAATCAATTTTATCCATAGTGAAAATCAAATTATCATATCCAAAGTAAGAATTTAAATTTTAAAAAATTTAAATTGATTTATCCAAACAAATAAAGAATGATGGAAATTGAAAATCAAGCAATTCAAATTTAAAAAATTTCAAATTTTTTAAATTTCTAAAATGTATCATCTAAACACACCTTGAAAATAATTGTTTAACAAGAATGGTAGAGAAGAGAAACAGAGCTTGTGTTACCAAAATGTCACTTAAAATTTTCAAAATAAATAAATAATTGAGGATGACTAGATGAGTCTTTTTAATCATATACTATCTATCCAATAACCAATAAGTTCTAATTAATCTTTCCTCGATCTTGAATTTCAGATTGAAAAAATTGTTTTATTTCTGCTTGAACAACAAGGAGTACTTGCACATAGGCTGTCAGATATTGGACAAGAGCACCATGCCCTTTTCCAGCAGCCAAATAGTTTAAACATCTCTGAACTCCAAGAAGCATATAGAGAAGTTGGAAGAGATCTTTTAAGGCTTCTTAATTTTGTGGAAATGAATGCTATTGGCTTGAGAAAGATCTTGAAGAAGTTTGATAAGAGGTTTGGCTATAAATTCACAGACTATTATGTGAAGACACGTGCAAATCATCCTTATTCCCAATTAAGGCAGGTTTTCAGGCATGTGGTAATGTTTCTAACTCTGAATACCACATTTTTCAAATTTTACTTCAAGTTATTTGAAGATAATCTATCATCCTGTTTAATGTTACAAAGAGTATATCATGTAGTAGCTTCTTTTTGTTTGCTCTTTGTTTGTTTATGGCAGTAGTATCATGTAAATAGCATCTTTGCAGGGCATTGGGGCTGTTGTTGGAGTCTTATCTCATGGTCTTGCAGACCTTCAGGATTTACAACATTGTCAAGGAAGCTACATTTCTATATATGACCAACCTTCTTATACTCATCAAGTTAGTTCTTGATCCATTATATGGATGATACTGCTATGCCCTACCATATATTGTATTTGCTGTAAAACCAATTTGAGGAAGAGAAAAGAGAAGCACAAGGATATTGAAAATTTTGTGTATCAACCACACCACAGGCTATGAATATATATATATTGATATATTAGAATACATGGCTCTTATTTTCCTTGATTATAAAAGATATCTGACTAACATATATGCATTCAATCTGAAGCTAGAATTACTAGAGTTAACTTAATAGTAAGAGATTAGAGTAGATGCCTGAAGAATTATGTTCAATCTTCATTTTTATCATTGTAATATTTCCTATTGATAAAAAAAAAAAATTCAATCTAAAGCTAAATAAATACAAGGAACAAACCATATTTGCAAGGCAGAATCGCAGTTTGATTTTTTGAGGCATAATGTTTTTATTTTTGAAACTTTAGTTAATAATTGTAAAATAAATTCCTAATGTTTTTATTTTAAGTTTTCACTTTTCACAACATTAATTTTTTCTTCTTTAAAATTCATAACTTCGAAGGTATTGTCGCAACACTTGATGACAATCTCTTTTGACTTCTCTTGAAGGATCCTATTCTTGATTCTATCAAAGTGGCTGTAGACAGATTATCAAACTCAACAAACTTCCTTCAGTTTTTGGGAAGACATGCTTTTATCATGCAAGAGGAGCTACCATCTCCATCTGAAGATCATATTGTTGATGAACGTTATCATTTTATGTCACTTCTTTTGAACTTGGCAAATACATTTTTGTATATGGTGAACACTTACATCATTGTACCTACGGCAGACAACTATACTTTGAGCCTTGGAGCTGCAGCAAGTGTGTGTGGTGTGGTCATCGGTGCAATGGCTGTTGCACAGATATTTTCTTCAGTTTATTTCAGTGCATGGTCAAACCGATCATATCTAAGGCCACTTGTATTTAGTAGCATGGTTCTTCTAGTTGGAAACACCATGTATGCATTGGCTTTTGATATGAATTCAATAGTAGTTCTACTGATGGGACGTCTTTTTTGTGGGTAAGTTATTCCTGTCACTCAATGTTTCATATTTTCCATGTTGGAAACTTATATGCTATTTTCTTGCTAGCAAAAAACTGTTATATATCATGCTCACAGCTAGTTGATTATTTCACAAAATTTACAGGACACAAATGTGTAAATTTGGGATGTATCTTTTTGGTAAAGCTTCAAATTCTGGTATATTGTATAATAACTTTGTAGCACAACTTAGACTTATTGAATCAACTGTGTCTAATTTACCTAAGATATCATAACTTAGTTTAGCGTAACTTCAGATTCAGGTATTCCTATGTTACCTTGTAGCTAGATATCTTTTATTGCAAACGAAGTGTATTATATGCATACCTTAAATTTTAGGTAGTACTACTACTAGTACACGAAACATTATGGATTAATAAAAAAGTATGGTCATTTTCAGGTATACTTATGTTACCTAGGTAGCTAGATATCCTATAATGCAATCACAGTGTACTATTTGCATACCCTCTTATCACAGTTTTAGATGAAAATTTACACAAGTACTTAGCTATGTTCTGGTGATTGATGCCTTTTATCTAAACATGTTTCTTTAAATGAAATATATAGCAAAATACCATCTTTCTTGAGAGACTAAATTGTGAGACTATGTATGTTATGACTCATAGGAGTGATTCTTACGGTTAGATTGGTTATGAGTATACTATTATGCATCTTAGTATTCCTTAACAGAAATATTATTTAGACCATCAAAATATTTTAGGGGGCTATATTGGCTGTGGACTTAAACAAATATGTTCTCTTTGGTTCTACCCATTGTAGTGTAACCAAAGTGTATAACTTTTCAACCTCATGTGTCACGTCCTGTCTTGTTCTCTTTCTAACATGAACCAAACATAGAATAAAAGTCTTATGGTATGTTCTATCTTGTTCTAACATGTATACAAAACACTTCCAAAAGAAAAAAAAAGGGATGCATATACTATGCCATCATTGATTTAAAAAGTAATTGCCATTTTTTATTAACTTGACATTATTGATGTGGTCAATTGTGTTTTATTTCAGGTTAGGCTCTGCAAGGGCAGTGAATAGGCGTTATATAAGTGATTGTGTGCCGTTGAAACTTCGGATGCAAGCTTCAGCAGGTTTTGTTAGTGCAAGTGCTCTAGGAATGGCTTGTGGTCCAGCTCTTGCTTGTTTGTTACAGAAAAATTTTAGGATTTACAAGTTCACCATAAACCAAGACACTCTCCCTGGCTGGTTAATGGCTCTTGCATGGCTTGTCTATCTACTGTGGTTGTGGATTTGTTTCAAGGAACCCGCCCGTGAGAATCAAGCAAATCATGTGTCATATCAAGCAGATACAGGTAAGTCAGCAAGATCACTTGTTTCTTTTGGTTATATGAAAGATACTGTTACTCATCACACATCGACTAATGAGATAATCATAATATATATAAGTGGATAATAATCTTCACTTTAAAGCCAATTTTAGAATTTAGACTCACAATTCACTTTTTAAGATGGTACCAATGTCGATTCTAGTGAGGATTGTTGGCTTTATCAGACCACTTGCTATCATACTGTTATTAGGTAACCCTCATATGTCTAGTGCTTAACATGAGAGGCGTGTGTTAGAAATCTCACGTCGACTAGTAAGATGACCATAATAATATATATAAACGGGGAACAATTTTTATTTGAGTTAGGCTCATAATCTATTTTCTATAAGACACTTTTATTTATTATTCTTTTCTTGATATTAAAGCTTGATATCTTTTCTTAGACTTGACACATTGATATGAGAAAATTCATTGCGGTCTTGTTTTGTCTATCAGAGTTCAATAAATGATTCTATAAGATCAAATTTTCTTATCACTGTTATATCTTCCATTTCTTGACACACACCTCCATTCCTTCATAGTTTGGGAGATGAATAAGAAAAACCAAAAATTTTGCTAGAAGTGTTGGGTACCATTCACAATTTTACTTCCCCATTCCTGTAGGTATCAGCCATATTTGTATCCTTGACCTTGAAAATATATTGAGATGAATAATTCAATATATTTGTTTATTTTTATTGATTTTCTTCCTGGTTCCTTGTCTGATCCCCACCTTCATGGTTTTACCGTGTACTTGAAATATCCTGCCACAAGATTGGAATATCTGCCTCTACCACTTTGAACAGTTAACTAAAATGAAGTAAATCAAACATGTTTGCTTAAAGTATAAGGTTATATGAAGTTTAGTAGATGCTTATTGTGATTCAATTATTTTCTGCTTAACTTGTGTCAAGTGTTTTCTGCCATATCCTATGCCACATGTAGTTTTATTCTTAAGATTTCATATTAGTAAATCCAGTCTCCAATCATGCTAAACTTAGAAGACAGAGTTGATATGAAGTGATACTCACACACTGTCAACTACTTTTTATATCTATTTATTTATATTATGCTTCATCCTTAATTTGTTATTTTTTGCATTTTCTCAAAATGCATAGGACCAGCAATACATGTTGCAGTAGAGAATGAACATACACTACCATTACTAATGAACTCAGAAGCAAAGGAGCAGGATGATGAGGGAGAAGAAGAAAATGACAATGCTGAAGAAACTAAGAAACCTGTGACTTCTATTGTGATGGCATATAAGTTACTTACACCATCAGTCAAGGTGATAAACCCATCATTATGACTATTGTTTCATGTATATAATTTTATTTGTATTTGTTGAATTTATATGGATTTAGGAAGGGAAAGGAAGAAAGAGATTAAGCAATTGAATAGTCTGAAGTGAAAACAAATAATTTATTGCTTGATTGAAAAGAACATAACAGGAGAAAGATTTTTCCTTGTAAGGGTTTCCCCTTTACACAATTGAACCACTGCTCTGTTTTCCCAAATTAACGAATCTGAATGTGTCTACCTTCTAATTCTATTTCCTGGGACTTACTCATATCTGCTTTTAAGAGATCATTTATGATCCTATAAAATATTTTAAGGTATAATAAAGATATAATGTGATACTTTCTAGATTTTCTAACAGTATCATTTCTAAACTTATTGATTGAATAGATAGATTGTCTCCTTTTTTATTCCAGTAGTGTCCTTAAATACGATGTTATCATTTCAATTATGATAGTATGAGCTCAGATTCAAGCTTTTGCACTAACTATAAATATATTTATCAGGTTCAATTGTTTGTGTATTTTATGCTCAAGTATGCAATGGAGATCGTCCTTGCTGAATCAAGCCTTATCACGGAATACTATTTTATTTGGTCAACCAGCAATGTCTCCATTTTTCTTGCATGCCTTGGTCTTACTGTACTTCCCGTAAATATTGTTGTTGGAAACTACATCAGCAACATGTTTGAAGAAAGGTACAGATTCAAGTATTATTAAAAACATCATGTCTTTTTAATCATCAACAAAATTCAATTCATATTCCTTCATGTCAGTGACTACACACTGTTAAGAATGAATCATATTCTGTTAATGAACACCGGTACTTTTCACTATAAAGAATAGTAAATGTAAAATCTAAAGTGATTGTTAATTATATTGGACCAACATAGGCTCAAATTAACATTACAAAATATCTACCTTTAGCTTTAGATTCCTAGTGATCCTTAAAATTCCCATTTTGAACAGTTATTTTGTCTGATACTCAGAAAGCTCCACATTTGTCATCCAATATATCAAAATGAAGACTCTTGCTTGTTAGCTATCGAGATTCTTCCACTATTATAATTAAATATTTTAATTTTTTTTTATAATTTTCTGTTTTGCTTGTAAGTTTGATTAAAGGTTATTATGTCTAGAAAAAGTAAGTTGTGTAGGCAAGTGATGCTTGTTTGTTAACTTAGTCATATTTTGCTGGTTTTTTTTTTTATTTGATCAAGGGTTTAGTCAATTTTAGTATTTAACCACTTCCTATAAATACTTTCAATGTGTGCAAAATTGAGTTTATAACTCAAATAAATCATATTAACTTTTTGTCCCTTTTGTATATGTGATGTTGCAGATTTTTAATCTGAACCTCTATTTTGTTTAGTCATACACCTCTATTTTTCATGTTCTGTTCTCAACGTTACTTTTTTTTTTTTTTTTTTTTTT